GTCAGTCTCCAGACCTTAATCCCATAGAAAATCTGTGGAGGGAGCTGAAGGTTCGAGTTGCCAAACATCAGCCACGAAACATTAATGACTTGGAGAGGATCTGTAAAGAGGAGTGGGGCAAAATCCCCCCCTGTGCAAACCTTGTGGCCAAATAGAAGAAACGTCTGACATCTGTGATTGCCAACAAGGGTTTTGCCACCAAGTACTAAAGCACGTTTTGCAAAGGGATCAAATACTTATTTATTCATGAAAATGCAAATTACTTTAACTTTTTTTGTAATGCATTTTTCTGGATTTTTTTGTTATTGTTGTCTCTCACTATTCACATGAACCTACCATTGAAACTGTAGACTGATCATTTCTTTGTTAGTGGGTAAACTTACAAAATCAGCTGGGGTTCAAATAATTTTTTCCCTGACTGTAATATTGTGTATGCATGTATAAAGGTATTGGACCAAGCACAGAACCCTGTGGAACTCCATAACTAACCCTTGTGTGTGGAAGATTCACCACTAACATGAACAAATTAAATTCTATCTGAAACATACAATGTAAACCAACTTAGCATAGCTTCTTTAGTCTAGTAGCTATTGGTTGCTGTTCCTGCAATAAGCATATCGCTTCTCGTTTGCTGTGCCTGCACATTTAAATTGATACTTCAAAAGGTGGGACAGGATTTGAGTATAAATTACCTTGTTTCAGTCCAGCTGCTACTTCACTGGTAGCCTCTCCACATAAAGCCCTTAGACTGCATTCTTCTATGTCAGAAGGAGGAGAGACAGTGCCAAGGTCCAGCTCATACCCATTAGGGTCTGATTCTGCAGAAAACTGACCCTGGGACCTCCAGCCCTGGATGGCCTCTGGCACCAGCTTCTCTGATGAACTCCGAATGGGCTTAAATCCATGAGACTCATCAACCACTGCAATGGCATCCACATCCTCATGGCTGTAGCTGATCTCTATGTCGCTGTCATCATCAGGGAATTCAGACTCAAAGCACTGAGTTCCTGTTGAGGCTTTGTTTTCAGCACAGGTGAGACTGGTGTCTGCTTCATCACAGCCATTTCCTGCCCCCTCCTCACAACTGATATTCTCTTCTGGGAACAAAATATCTGCTGCAAAGGGGTTGCTGCCTTTGAAAGGGTCTGAAGCGAATCCATCTGGCAAATAGATTAGTAAACAAAAGCCTGTTGACATCCAAGTTAAAATGTTATATCTACCTCAAGCACATTTAATTATTTTGATCATGTTCTCGACAAAGACAAGAGCTGAAACCAGCCAAGCTGACAATTTCTGAGAGCAGATCTAGTCAGATCAAGAGTTGTCAGCAGCAGCTAGAAAGTTAAAGCAGTAATGGAAGATGTATTCAGATCCTGTAATGAGGTTAGTAAGTCTTGCATTCTAAATTTTACTTAAGTACAGTAAAAAAATTAAAAATGCAGAGTTTCAGCAAGATGTGCAGCAAGATGGTTGGTCGCTTCACACTAAGATCTGTAGAGGATGTCTCGGATGATGGTCTTAAATGTCGAAAAGTAGTACGGAAATAGGATCCAAACATAGGACCCTGGTGAGTCAAGATGTTACAGAATGTAATGCAGTGCCACATGGACTCGCTTGTGAGACTTTATTGTGATAAAAAAAAGTATTACATGTTAGTTTAAGAATCTCCTTGAATGGGCATAATCTCCAGGCCATTGCGCATTCATGTGAGCTTGCCTGACATCCATCGGTGGCTCCACCATATTCGCAAAGGTTATATTGCCTTGTTTGTTGTGTGTATTTTCAATAAAGTTTATTTTAAAAAAAACAATGAAACAAGACATCCACCGGTGCCAGTGTAAAAGCGAAATTTTTCAACTATATATTTGTCCTTAAATATTTACACATGGCACAAGCTCTGTACTATATTTCACTTTAGATTAGACTAAACTTTATTGTCAATACCCATGTACAAGTACATGGCAATGAAATACAGTTTAACATCTAGCCAGAAGTGCAATAACAGCAGTGTAGAGTGTGCAGTATCTACAGACTGTACAGTCAGAACAAATTTACTGATTGATGTGTACAATTTGATATTTACAGTAAGATATGTAAGGTAATGTACAATATACAACTTTATGACTTTTTGGATTTAAATTACAAGTATGGGTAATGTACTGTAAGCTTATAAAACACTAGTGCAATGGGATGAAATAGTGCAGAATAAGAAGATCAGTTACATGACTTAACAGTTTAATGGATGTAAATAGTACAAGATAAATACACAGTATCTGCATATGTAGAGTACAGTGTGCAAATAAATACAGAGCAGTATTCTGTGAGTATGTGCAAATTAACTGATCACTTCAGTGTTACAGGTAACAGAAGTGTATTGCATTAGTCCCGGGAGGAGAGATGAGAAGGGGTGATGTTTGTGTAGTGGTATACAGGAAGGCAGTGGGGGGTCAATGGGGGGACAGAGTTCAGTAAGGAGACAGCTGTGGGGAAAAAGCTGTTCCTGAGTCTACTGGTCTTGGTCCAGAGGCTCCTGGAACGCCTCCCAGAGGGCAGGAGGTCAAGCAATTTGTGAGCAGGGTGAGAGGAGTCATTGAGAATGCTGCAAGCATGTCAGAAACAGCATTCCCCGTGGATGCCCTCAATGGCTGGAAGTGAAGTCCCTGTGATGCATTGGGCAGTTTTCACCACCTGCTGCAACGCCTTGCAGTCAGAGACAGAGCAGTTTCCATGCCAGACTGTGATACAGCTGGTCAGGATGGTCTCAATGGCAAAGTGGTATAAGTTCACTAGGATGGCTGAAGACAGGTGGTTCACTGTCTAGTATGCTAACACCACACAGGCAGAGAAGAAGGCTCTTCAAAGAGTTATAAAGACTGCAGAGAGGATCACTGGGACTGAACTGCCTGCTATGAACACACTATACAGACAGTACTGTTGTAAAAGAGCAGAAAACATAATCAGAGATTCACTCCACCTAGCTCACACTCTGCTCAGACACAATCTAAGGCACAGCAGGGCAAACAATATCATCACACACAGAACAAGCCTTTACAACAGCGTTTTTGCCACCGCAGTAGGACTGATGGCAAATACAAAAATATGAAAAACATGCAAAAACCCCTCATTACTTCACTAAGTAAAATACCATATGCAATAACACTATGTGAAATCCTATGTGCAATAGTTTACCATCTTGTATTATTTTATTTTTATATTCACATTTTTATCTACTATTTTATTCTTATGTAACTTTATTTTTAAACTAGGGTTTCTTTTTCTGGCTTTTAAGTCCTTACTTGACTCCAAGAGAGCCCTGCACAAGAATTCCTATATGCCTAGACTGTCTGTTTATGAATAAATGGCAAATAAAAATCTTAAATCTTGAAGTGGAGCCCCTGTGATGCATTGGGCAGTTTTTACTACCCACTGCAATGCCTTGCGATCAGAAACAGAGCTGTTTCCGTACCAGACTGTGATACAGCTGGCCAGGATGCTCTCGATGGCACAGCAGTAGAAGTTCACTAGGATGGCTGAAGACAGGTGGTTCTTCTTCAGTGTCCTCAGAAAGAAGAGGCACTGGTGAGCCTTCTTAACCAGGCTGTGGGTGTTGGTGGTCCAGGACAGATCCTCTGAGATGTGGGTCCCCAGGAATTTGAAGCTGGAGACATGTTCAACAACCATCCATTAATATGGATGGGGTCGTGTGTGCCTCCTTTCTCCCTCCTGTAGTCCACAATGAGCTCCTTGGTCTTGTCGGTGTTAAGGAGCAGGTTATTGTCAGCACGCCACACAGCCAGGTGCTGTACCTCCTCCCAGTAGGCTGTCTCATTGTTGTCACTGATGAGGCCGATCACCGTGATGTCATCTGCAAACTTGATGATGGTGTTGGAGCCATGCACAGGCCTGCAGTCGTGGGTGAAAAGGGAGTAGAGGAACAGGCTCAGCATACAGCCCTGTGTTTCGCCAGTGTTGAGAAGGATGGTGGAGGCGCAAGTGTTGTCTGACCTAACATGCTGAGGCCTCTCTTGGTTAGAAAGTCCAGAATCCAGTTGCAGAGGGAGCTGCTGAAGCCCAGGTCTCCAGGTTTGGTGGTTAATTTGGAGGGGATGACTGTGTTAAATGCTGAGCTGAAGCCCACGAACAGCATTCTTGCATAAGTATTGTTGTACAGATGTCTGAGTACAGAAATCACCCGCAACAATAAATGCAGCCTCTGGGTGTGCAGTCTGTTGTTTGCTAATGGCTGCATGAAGTTCGTTCATAGCAAGCTTGGCATTAGCATTCAGGGCAATATAGGTTGCAATTATTATAGTGGAAGCGATCTCCCTAGGCAGATAAAAAGGTTTACACTTAACCATAAGAAATTCCAGGTTAGCTGAGCAATGTCTTTGAGTGATCACAGAGTTTGTACACCAAGCTTTGTTAACATAAATGCACCTTAACATAAATAAATCCTCCACCTCGGGTCTTACTGGAGTCACCTCCCATTCTATCTGCCCGGGTGTGTAGCCCCCAGCTAGTTCGATAGCACTATCGGGTATGCTGCTGTTTAGCCAGATTTCAGTGAAAATCATAATATTGCAGTCCATAAGTCTTCAGGGCAATATAGGTTGCAATTATTATAGTGGAAGCGATCTCCCTAGGCAGATAAAAAGGTTTACACTTAACCATAAGAAATTCCAGGTTAGCTGAGCAATGTCTTTGAGTGATCACAGAGTTTGTACACCAAGCTTTGTTAACATAAATGCACCTTAACATAAATAAATCCTCCACCTCGGGTCTTACTGGAGTCACCTCCCATTCTATCTGCCCGGGTGTGTAGCCCCCAGCTAGTTCGATAGCACTATCGGGTATGCTGCTGTTTAGCCAGATTTCAGTGAAAATCATAATATTGCAGTCCATAAGTCTCTTACTGTTGGTGATGCAAAGCCGTGTTTCATTCATCTTGTTCTCCAATGACCGAACACTGGTGAGGAAAATGCTGGGTAAAGAGAGCCAATGTGGTGAGTGAGTAGCCTCCAGTGTTTTGGAAATTTCAGGGGTGAGTTGAATATTGGAGATAAAACTGTTGGAGTGGTGTAGAAAAAATATCCAAAATTTCTTGCTGGGTGTAGGATAGTAAGGTGAAGCTGTTCTGCACAAACAGACATAAAATGAGCAGGAGAATCACAGCAAAACTGTGAAATCTGGGGAGATGCTGAGCCTCATGTTGTACATGCACCCCTTATTTAGACTTGCCCAAATCAGTATCAAAGATACCTTGGCTTTTAGAATATTTAGGAACTTGTGGTAAGGGTGTCTGGTCTTGTCATTACTGTTCATTCTGTCAGTGGCACCACTTGCCCAGCTCATTTACAATCGCCCAGGGATATCAAATTGGGACATGCCACATATTTGATATCAATGTATGACACCCTTTTGTTCTTATCGAATGTAGAGTACTCCCTTCCTAACACAGTAAAGATCTGAGAATTTGGGAAGCTGTCAGGCTTTAAATTCATTTACTCCAAGTCCATGTTAATGTAGCCCCCAATACGGCAGATATCTCCTCCAACATCCCATTCATAGACTAGGTGATCTGGTTAGCAATTCAGATCAGAACCTTGGTAGTGGCAATAGCTAAAATTAACTATTCTAACCTGATGAAGAAGGTAAAAAGTGACACTGACAGGTGAAAAGTGTTTCCATGCTCAGTACCGGTCTGAATCTCTGTGATAAAGATGTATATTCTTCCTCATATAAACTTCATAGCTTCTATGATACTGCTGCTTCTCCTACTAAATACAGGTCTAAGTTAGATACAGTGCTGATTTCATATGTATGGAATAGAAGAAAAAAAAACACTGAGAAGTGGTCGGTCTTATAAAGATGCAAAAGCAATGTGGGTGGGCTTGTCCTAACTTCAAATTGTCCCACTGGGCATTTACCCTGTGAGCCTGCAGTCAGTGGCTTCAGGAAGGACAGACTGCAGCATGGGTGCAGATAGAGGAAAGCCTGATGAAACCAATGAGATTGAAAAAATTTTTTTATCCTCTGGTATTTCTCACAGGAAAATCTCCCTGAAATATGGACCTATAATGACATACTTGTTGCAAATCTCCAAGACAGTTGAAAGAAATGTAGGATATAACACCAAATTACACAAGTCCTCCCAAATTTGGGCAATAATCCTTTATCCAAGATACCTGGGTGGAGAAAGGAATTAGGGTCCTGGGTGACCTCAACAGGACAGACACCTTAATCACCTTTGAAGACTGTGTTTGTATTGATAGACATACACTGTTCATACATATTCAATTCAGATCTGACTTAAAAACCCTTAAAGTCTTGACCACCCACTGGTCATATGGTTTTGGTTAGCACAAAGACATACTGTATCTTTTATGTACTACAAGCTCGTATCATATTCCAAGATCTCAATCACAGGGATCTGGGAATGGGAAAGGTCTATGTCTGGCCTCAACAGGAAGATAAACTGGAACAAGGTTTGGTCAAATTGCTCAATAGGCTCTCATAACCCCAATTACCAATTTATATTCATTTTAAGTTCTGCCACGGGGCATATGTGAAACCCCAGCAGAGATATTGGTTGGGTCTGAGTCTGGACTGTACATCTTGTCCCCTGGGCACTTTGGGCACCTTGGTACACATGGTATGGGACTGTCCAAAGGTACCGTGCTTTCAGCAAGAGGCAATACAAGCTACAGGATCTCTACCCTGAAAAAACTTCCTGATGGATCCAGCACTTCATCTCCTTAATGACTCTTCTGAACTATTGCTTTCCAAAGAAACTCTTGAAGTATGGCTAGCCATACTGTCTGGCCTTTCTGGATTGTGCAGTAAAGAATCGGAATGCAACAGGGCCAAGGCAGAGAAATTACACATCCAGAACTCCCTTAGGGCTTGTGGATACCATAAGTGGGCCTTCACCAAAGCAAGGAAGAGGCCCAACACCAACAGAGAGAAACCAGAAACAAGAGGGGATAACACTGTCATCCCTTATGTGGCTGGCTTATCAGAGAAGTTAAAAAGGATATTTTGCAACCACAATATCCCAGTTACCTTTAAACCAGGGAACACCCTGCGGCAGAGACTGGTCCACCCGAAGGACAAAACACCCAGACATAAACAGAGTGATGTGGTGTATGCTACTGTCATCCCTTATGTGGCTGGTTTATCAAAGAAGTTAAAAAGGAATTTTTGCAGCCACAATATCCCTGTTAACTTTAAGCCAGGGAACACCCTGGGGCAGAGACTGGTCCACCCGAAGGACAAAACACCCAGACATAGAGTGATGTGGTGTATGCAATTAAGTGTAGTCATGAGTGTAACGACTTGTACATTGGTGAAACTAAGCAGCCACTTCACAAAAGCAAGGCCCAACACAGGAGGGCCAATTCCAGTGGACCTAAGTCAGCGGTCTACTGCCACCTGAAGGACAAAGGACATTCTTTTGAGGACAGTGAAGTCCAGATCCTCTCCAGAGAACACCTCTCACTAAATAGGGGTGGTGGACTAAGACACAACCTGTCTTCCATCTACAATCTTGTTTTGAGATCTCTGCCCAAACATGCCCACCAGGACAATAGGTATTGGTAGACAGGGGAGGATTCAAAGACAGGTAACGACTCACCGATACTGGGCTATAACGACTCAGTTGTTAAGGGACGTTGTTGGCCTTCAAAGGACTGCAACACCACAGAGGGGGATAAATATCTCCAACTCAACACCAGTCAGTCAGAACTGATAAAGCCTCTTGGATGAGAGGTGGAACGTCTTTGACCTACAAATCTAGTCCAATTGTTTTTTTCTAAGTTTTTTTCAGTTTATTATGACCTGGATGATTGAGAATCTGCACAGACATATGGCTAGCCATAATGCCAAAAAACGTACTGCTCAGTCCTGGATACTTCCACACAATTTGACATCACGGTCATGGCATAACGCATTATTAGAGATTCAGTATCAGGAACTTTTGGCTGCTAGGATAAACGCATCCTCTCCAAAAATAGTTGAGTTCTGGGGGGACATTATAAAATCAGTAAAAGACTCATCACTGCAGTTTCATGAACCCTTTTGACTGAGCTCCTTTTTGTTTACATCTTCTTACCTCAGACCTACCAATCCACAGGGTTGGGTGGAAAGGCGGGTTGGGAGTTGGGTTCAGTTTTAGTTCATGTTATTTGAGTTCCTGTGTTATGTTTTATTATGTTAAAATTCATTAAAACAACAAAATAAAATTTAATTATAATATTAGTCGAAGATTTTACTTAAGTACTAAGCACTACTAAGGGGGATATTTGCTAAACCTGTGGCAAATTACCGTCAGGTGTGCAAAACATTGCAGCACTGTAGTTTTTTTATTTAGCAATATATTTGCCAACACTGATTATGTAAATGAGCCCTGCCACAGCTGTGTTAATTTGAATACACCTCCATGCCTGCCTGAAGTCTGTTGTGCATGTGTGGACCAAAAAAAAAAAAGCCTGAAGAAATTAATAAACACATTTCAGGCTGGCAATCAAGTAGTTTCCTGCCAGTCAAATAATCTTATTTCACTCAGTAACTGAAGCATGGTTTGACCTGAAAACCTGTAAAAGTCCCTCATATTCTCCTCTGGAGAGCAATGTGATTTACATATATCCTCTCCTTCCTCAAACATTTTCTTAACTCCAAAGAAATCTCAGATGACTAACAGCCACCACCCAACAGTGGGGACACAACTTTTACACCTGCTCTCTCCTGGCATTAAATTTCAGAGGCAATTACCTCTGTCACAGTCATGGTAAATCTGGTGTTATAAATTTACATTTTCTCCCCCCTGATTTTTGCGTCTCTGAATGGGATTGCCATAAAATACATATTACATGAAACCAAATGCAAATTCTGGCAGTGCCACATTTCATCTGTTTCTCTCAAAACCCCACTGCAACTCCTTAGTATCTGCACAAAGAACATATCCAGAGCAAGACCCTTAAATTTTTAAATAAAACATTTTATTATTACTCACCAGATGAGTCAGTGTTAGAGAACAGGTCTTCATTGAAAAGGTCATCTACAAATCAAGCAAGAAAGGCATTGGAATATCAGTATATATAACCTATGACACATGGTAGATTAGAAAACATCGAGCTATTTCATAAATTTTCAACAGAGTGCATATAGTAGATTAATGTGCCTGACAAAAACATTGTTCAGTAATCTTGTGAACAGCCTTGTTTTCAGTAAACCAAAACTGGTGGAAAACACACATACAGTTAGGTTCCAGAGACAAATTTTTTGTCACTGTTTTTAAGTAGAAGTAATGTAGACTAGCATATAGCAACCTGTGTTAGGGTAGATCTCTAATTAATTTTGTTACCAACTAATTCTGTGAAAGGTAATAGAGTACATTGACTGTAGCAATAAATGTGCAGATAGTCACACAAGCTGCACTCTTGCCCATGTGGGAGATTTGTTGCTACTGACAGTAGTGGTAACTGTGAATCCATATACAACAGGACACGGAAAGGCTGCTGTAGAAGAAGAACCCAAGGAAAGCCCATCCATCCATCCATCCATTTTCTTCCACTTATCCGGGACTGGGTCGCGGGGGCAGCAGTCTAAGCAAAGATGCCCAGACTTCCCTCTCTCCAGACACTTCCTCCAGCTCCTCCGGGGGAATGCCGAGGCGTTCCCAGGCCAACCAAGAGACATAATACCTCCAGCGTGTCCTGGGTCTTCCCCGGGGCCTCCTCCCGGTAGGACATGCCCGGAACATCTCCCTAGAAAGGGGGCCAGGA